GATTTTCTCGATGATTTACTTCTCAAATCTTTCAATTTCTGCGGATTACTTTCATAACTTTCTCCTATCATAAATAATTATTCCCCATCAATAATAAATAAATATTTCCTGAAGACCTTCAGCCATTTCGGGAGAGAATTTAATTGATGGGAATTGATGCAATCGATTCTCTGGAACTTTCAGATTTTTACATGTTTTTTAAATTTGAGATTGTGAGCGGGAGTTATTTTTATAAATATTGAAACGGATCGTTAAATGAACATTGTGGCCCTGTCGGGGAATCAGGTCGAGTCCAAGGTATAAAAAATATTGCTCCAAATAACCTAATGAAAGAGCATAATAACAGAATTTTCCACACATTGACCCTTGAACGCACTTCATGGAAGTCAATTGTCATCGGTTTGTTACGTGATACACATAATCCGTTAAAAAAATCAATTCCGCAAAATGTAATAAACAATTAGCTGTTAATACAGCTGGAATTTTTCGTGAAATTCCCAAATCTGAAACTCCCAAATTGCGTCAATCATCAATTAATTTTTCTCAAAATCGATAATCAATTTCCTTTTAATAATTAAATAAAATAAGAATCCTGAAGAATTGAATAAAAAGCGTCTAGAAACATGGAATGGAGAAAATTTTGGAGAAATGTTTGATAAAAAATTATCAATGAAGTAATTGCTTCTTAATTCTGTACTTGCACAGAGATTACGAGGGTAAATGTCAATTCGATAAACATAAAGAGGAAAATGTGTGAATTTATTACACAATTATTGTGTCTCGGGTTGTAAGAGAAATTGTCAGGGGGTTTGAAATTCGAGGGCTCGAAATTCGATTTTTCTATATTTTTTTTTGGTGTGAGACTGTCAGTGGTGTCGGACAGGTACTCCAACACCTCAAGGATTTTCACTCCAGCATCGGAGATCTCGAAACTCAAAGAGAAAGCGACTGGATCGACCCTCATAATCAATTTTCAAAGAATTCATGTCGTTTCAACGTCACGATTTCGACATGTGATCGAATCCATGGATTAATAATTTATCAGCAAAAGAAAATTCCCCGATCAAAGTGTTTTTTTTTACTTGAAATCATCGAATGGAGAGATAACGGAAAATTATGGAGAAAATAATTGCTTTTTAATAGTCGATTTTTGATAATTGAACACTCAATGAAAAATATGGAAATTTTTAGATTGAAAGACTAAAACAAAATGAAAACTTGATTTATTTTGATGATTAATAAATTAAACATGAAAAATAAATTATTAATTTGATTCCCTTCACTTTAACAAATTCGAAATTTCCTGATCCATTCGTATTCGTTAAAAAATAATAATAATTCAATAACAATTATATTTTCCTCCATAATTTCCCTCTCTCTTTTGCACTGAGAAAAATTATTTCCCCACAAAAATCCATTTAAGAGAGAGAATTATTCAGATTAAAAAATTAAATTTTTCAATTAGGATAATAGCAATAATTTAAACAATTGTTTTTCATGTGCTCCATCCAGAATAATTAGATTTGAAATCAAATTCATTCATGAGAGATTAATTTTGTGTAAATTTCGTATTCAAAGAATTTCAAAATAAATTCCATTTATTGTTAAAAAGTATTTTCAAGGTCATAGGTAGAGTGATGACTTCCTGAAGGAATTTATTGTGAGAGAATTCACGGAGGAAATGAATCAAAGGGTGAAATACTCTAAGAAAATTCAGCAATCTCTCCTAAATGAAAAATTGGCAAAATATTTCTTTCAGAAAAAATTCCAGATCCCATAATCTCCATTCTTCCATAGAAAACCGAGAGGTCCAGAGGCGCCCCCAGCACCAAGTGTCCATTCCCAGAAGAGAATCCAAGATTATAAATACCCAAAAAAACTTTCCATAAAATATATTCAAATTCCAGAATTTCTGGGGATAACATTTTAAAAAATCTCGGTAAAAACCACGAATGGTCACAAAAAAAATCTGAAAATGCACTGACCTCCGCTTTTCCTTGGGTTTCTTGGCTTTTCCGTCCATTTCTCCTTGAAAAATCCTGGAAAATCCTCTCGTTATCACTAATGAAGTCACCAAAATCTCCAGTCACTTCACTGAATTGTCTGAATAATTATTTATTCCCCGGATTATTTAGACACTGGATTGCCTGGGAAAACGGTAATTCAATGATGGAAAATTCATGGATTATCTTTTGGAGTAATTACACGGCTTGTGGGGGTGATACACTCGCGCATTTTAATTGAATTTTGGGGGGTTAGGGCGGAGATTTCGAATGACACAATCGGCGGAACTGATGGATTGAATTTTTTATAAACTTTCACAATTGTTGGGGATAATATCACGAGCTGCGTTCCATGGGTGACGACATGGGCCAATGGGTGATATTGGACAAAGGGAAGTCGACACCATTCGAGAATCGATTGCAGCGCCACCGATCGAGATATTCGTCAATTTTTTTTTTTCACTGTTTTATTGTTCTGGCTGTCAATCCAGTTTTGTTGTCATTTCATTATCTTGACTGATTGTTGACGACTTCTGGCAGTTTTTTTTTGGGGGTCTAGGATGAGAGATCTCTCGACAGTTTCGGGAAATATTTTTCATGTGAGTTATCCCGGGATTTCCTGGAATTCCTGCAAGATTGTCAAATTATAACCTAGAATTACAGTTCTCCGGGAATTTTCTTGGGGTTTTAGATGTTTTTTTTTAGAGACATGCGAAATTGAAGGAATTGAAGGAAAAAATAGAAAAATGTATTGATTCCAGTCTTCGGGGAGTTTTCGGAAATATCTCCGAAATTATTGGATATATCGATGCCTTTGTAAGAACCTTTTTTCTAGGTTTCAATTATCTCTGCAAAAAACTTAATGACGAAAAATCAATTATCTCTCTTGGTTCCGGAGATATTTCCCAAAACTGGCTGCACTGAGTAAACTTTCCTCTAGTTATTTTGTCATTTACAGATACCAGGTGCGGAGTTTTTGAGAGGTGACATCGTAATTTAACAATGGACAGTTTATTCACTCAGAATTTGAGTGACGAGCCAGACGATATCCCCCAGACTCAAGAGCCCGTGTGGATTCTGGGGAGGAGATATAATGCGATCAAAGGTGTCCCCCAGATATAAAATAAATACCCGATTTAATCACCTAAACTGCCCCAATGATATCCAAGTATTTTCTCAATTTTCTACTCAACTCGAATTTTATTTTCCTGTTCCCTAATTTTTTATTTGGAAATTACACATATCAATTGTTCGAATCCAGATAATTTACTTGGATATCTGTTCGTAATAATAATAATGGAAAAATTCTGGATGAGAGAAGCTGTTGCGATAGTTTTATAGACGAAAAAATTTTTTTTTCATTTTTTAGAGTTAGATATAATACGTAGAGACATACGATCGAAGCTGTGGTTTACTTATCGTAAGGGTTTTGTACCAATTGGCGGCTGTAGCTCGACATTTACGTCTGATAAAGGATGGGGCTGTATGCTGAGGTGTGGACAGATGGTATTGGCCCAGGCCCTGGTTGCCTTACATTTAGGTTCGTTCCGCAATAATCAAGAATCCATAAGATCCATTTTAATAATTAACTCCGATGGAAACAGGACGAGACTGGCAGTGGACACCTCAAACTAGAGATAGCACATACTTAAAGATCCTGAATAAATTCACGGACAAAAGGTCAACTCCTTTTTCAATTCATCAGATTGCCCTGATGGGGGCCTCCTCTGAGGGCAAAGAGGTTGGCCAGTGGTTCGGGCCCAACACAATTGCCCAAGTACTAAAGTAAGTCCCTAATTGCCTCCACAAAATTTTGGTAAACGAATTTATAAAAAATTATTCTTCATTTTCTCAATTTCATGATCTCTTGTAATTGCTGTGCCTTTTGATCTGAAGGAAATTAGTAGTTTACGACGATTGGAGCTCGTTAACAATTCACGTGGCCCTCGACAATACCCTGATAATTAATGACGTTTGTAAGTACCCCCTAAATACTGTAATTTATTGATTAGGGATGGTTTAAGGAAGAATTCTATTTACAGTGAGACAGTGCAGGGTAGATAGTGCAGCTACTGCTGAGGAATCAGATGGTGAGCCTCTGAGGGTTTCCAGCCAGTGGAAGCCATTATTGTTATTGATACCGTTGCGCCTTGGCCTGAGTGACATCAACCCTGTCTACATCAATGGCCTCAAAGTAAGTGAAGGGTTCCAAATTGCTGTAATTGCTGGTAATCTATTAATTATTTTTTTCGTGTAGACGTCTTTCAAGATTCCACAGTCCCTGGGCGTCATTGGGGGCAAGCCAAACCTCGCTCTGTACTTCATAGGCTGCGTTGGTACGTAATTAACGAGTTGATTTATTCGTCTTCTATGATGTGATCTCTGTTCAGGTGATCAAGTGATATTCCTGGATCCACACACGACCCAGAGATTTGGCTGTGTAGAACAGAAGATCGAGCAGGATGAGGTGGACCTCGATCAAACGTACCACTGCAAGGCTGCCAGCAGAATACCCATCACTGGAATAGATCCTTCTGTTGCTCTCGTGAGTTTTTGTTTTTTCAGGGCGAATTGGGAAAATCTCATGGTGATTCATTTTTTTTTTCCAGTGCTTCTTCTGTGCTACTGAGAAGGAGTTCAAGTCTCTCTGTAGATCTATGCAGAACGAACTCATTACACCTGAGAAACAACCGCTCTTCGAACTCTGTGCTGAACGTCCAGCTCACTGGTCACCTCTAGATGATGTTGCTACTGAGGCCTTGGGGATCACATCATCAAATGGTACTATAAATCATGATAATCTCCAAATATCTTCTACAGATTAATAAAAACCAATAAATTTCTTAATCGTATTAAAAATTTTCTTTAGGAAGTTTTAGACTTGACGAATCAATTTTTTTTCCAGTTGATTCCAATGAAATTGCGTTTTCCTTTTATTAATCTTGAATTGTAAAAGATATTTGGATTGTTTTAATTTATTTATTGGGATAATTAACGTTTGAAGAATTATTTTTCTTTTTCAGTTCTAGATTTTGAACGATTAGATCGACAGTATGACACGTCAGACGAAGATTTCGAGCTGCTCGGTTAATGAAAATCCCAAAAAAAATATCTTATAAACAATTCGCTATTAAATAAATACCACTTATATTTGTAAATACTCTAAACATCGAGGCTCACGTTTTTAATATAGTATCTTGCTTATTACGATTACATCATTTGTCGTTTGAAGAATTAAAATTATTTCTCATTTTATTACGTTTTTATTTCACTCTTTCGTGTATCGTTGGATGTTCTCCAGGGGTTCGTCGACGGACTCGAGGCTTTTTAGCCCCGATGCTTTAGTCAATTCCTCCAGGTCGTTGGAGAACTTCTGGTGATCTTCTTTGGACAGTTCTGTCATGAATTTTCGGGTCTCAACCAGAACAGCTCCTTTCACTTTAACCCAGGGAATTATATTTGGAATTTGATTTGTCATGTTGTTTGCTACGAATGCAACATCGAATTTCTCGTTGAAGTCGGGTTTACTTTTGTATTTTTCTATGTACCACGCAGGGTAGAATTTCACCTAGAGTAAACATTCAAAATTTTTTTTGCGAATTGAACGAAACGTTAAGGAAAAATCAGGGCAAAAATCCGGAATAATTTTTATAGAAACGAAATTACGATGTGATCGGGGATGTTGACCCAGGGGCAGTCCTCCTGAATTCGCTTGGAGTAATCTTTGTACTCCCAGGGCTCAAATTCACTCCCTGAATCCGGCATTTGACTGACTAGAGTCGCGTAGATGAGAGATTGGTCCCTATGGGCAGCGATAAAATCGTTCGGGCACTCTTCCTTGGTTCTTATCTGATAAATCGCTTTGAGAACTTGACCCTCGGCTGCGTCAGTGGCTCTTAACTTTCTGGAAATGCCTTATACTAAATTATATTCATAAGAATAAGAAAACGTGAAATTCCATGAAAATAATTTGATTTTGATTATTTGAATTGATCGTCAAATCAATTCATCTTCGAATTGATACGTATTTTTTTTAGCTGTTATCAATTATCAATTATCCATCAATTTATCAATTATTAATTGTAAAATTACGGATTTCTGTTGAGATCATCGATGGCCCAAGTGAAAAAGGGCCCATTATTGATATCTCCTTTGTAAGCAAAATGTATGAATCCCTGTCCCACAGCATGAATTCCACTCAAAAGTGTTGGATTGCTTCGAGAAGGATCAGTCTCTATCCACGTAAAGGCAACGCCGTTGTTCCTCCAGAACTTGTACTCCTGATTCGTCAGGTACTTGAGACCACTTGACTTCAAGACCATATGGTAATCCCAGTCGAATACTCCATCTCGATAGTCGTAACGGGTCTTCAGAGAACTCCTGACTCTCTTGTTCCAGTAATCGACGATGGGAACTCCTTCGCAAAGAGCTCTCACCCAGAACCTCAAATCAAATGTCTCAATAATATTTATAAATAACAAACAAAAATATTCCTTATTACCCTAAAATTAAAATTGAATTAACAAAAGGCAGAACAAAATAATAGACTCGATTCGATTTATTTTTATTGTAATTTGAAATCCTTTAATTGTTTTTCCGGATTTTTTATTTATGGAGTTGAGGACTTACTTGAAGATCCCTTCGATACCGTCTCTGTCTTTGTATTTCATCCCCTGGAGATTGAGCCAGGGACAGGGGTACGTCTGCGTAATTACGTCAATTAATCGTTTTACAGTTTTAATTAGATATTTTGCAGTCCCTGGGGTGACGAGGGTATTCCCCATGACCTCTAGGAAGTATCTGCTGGCTTCCTGGAACCCTTCAGACACATTCAACTCATTTTCCCTCATTCAAACGATTTTTATTTTTATGAAATCGGATATAATTGGAGATGGAACGATTTACCTAATATTTTTTCTAATGAAATATTAATCAGGAGAATGGACCTGGCGATGTCCTCGAGGGTCGCCTCCAGGACATGAAAAGTCACTCGTCTTGATGATTTACCGAGTGAGGAAAGGGTTTTGATGATATGTCTGGCATCACAAGCCCCGATAATCAAAATCTCCAGGGGTTCTTCATGTTTTTTCTCGATTTCACAGGATAAATCCAAGGGTGGACTCCCCCCCCACAACATTTTTAATCGATCAATTAATCTAATTAATAACAAAAACACTTTTTCAACTGATCGTACCTCTTCAATCGATTGCAGATGTGTTACGTTTCCCTAGCAACCGATTGTCATTCCCTGAATTCCTCGACTTCAACAACAAATTCTTAAAAACACAAGGAAAATCCCAAATATCCCGTAAACAGCTGGATTTATCGAAAAATACGATAAGACCATTTAATTTAATCATTCATTTTTTTACAAAAAATCTTTCTGACGTTTTTCGATAAGTCTAATAGTTTCTGCGATATTTGCAGGTATTTATCAACAAGATAATTCGCGTTTTCTGATTTTAGGAAAAATCTTCGTTATTACAAACAAATAATTAATTACATTAAAGGATAGATAATAGGACAATAAAACCACAGGATGCTGAAAAACATTCTGTATTAATCCAATATAATCTATCCTCTGCAAGATTTAAAAAACATTGAAAGATATAAACATTTAATCTCCCACTCCTTGAAGTCAGACTTCCTGGAGATGAGAGAATGCACTGAATTTCCATTTTATTCACTTGTCCCGTTTTTTCTGCGATCGTTTGTTGCCACAACGTTGAAGTATATCACTCACGTGATCCTTGTGTTGAAAAATAGCGATCAGTTGGGTCCTAGCTTCACTCATACCTTCACTTATTAAGCTACTTCTCTGCATATTCCCTTTGATTAATTCATTCGCACGCTCGATCCCGTCGTCCTGACGATTTTTCGTCGGCTGCTGGGACTCTAGCATCAGGAGAGTGGATTTCAGCTTCTCATGGACCTGCAAACAAAATCATTCCATTCAATAATCACCCCCTGATTCCACAGAATTGGAAAAAAAATGTCCAATATCTTTTATTATTTATTTACCCCGGAATAATAATTTATAAATTTTTTTTGGTGTTCTAAATGATATTTTACGTAAAATCTCACGGAAAATTTGATTATAAATTGAATAACTCGTCGTAAAATTAGTTTATCACATTTATATAAACATAAAAATAAAAATTACTTGTTTTTCCAACTGAGCAAGATCCTCCATTTGCGCAGTGAGTTGATAGACCTTCCATCCATTGATCTTCTGGAGTACGAATTTTTGCTGAGCAATTTCAGCGACAGTGGGTCTTCTCTCCTCCTTGGGCCTGACATCCCCAGGTCTCCTGTAATGATGAAGCCTGCCTCCCCACCTGTTCTTCCAAGAGGAATCTGTAAAATGAAAAAAAAAATGACAATTTCAGGCCCCAGTAATTAAATAATTCCCAATCAATCGTCATCTTACCCTTACCAATGAGGCTGGGAGTTGGTCTACCCCTGACCAGAACAGTCTGTCCCTCCCTCTCAAATTTATCCCTCCTCTCCTCCTTGATTTCCCTCTTGATCTTGTCTTCGCAAATGAACTGCATCTCCTCGACATTACACCTGGCCTCAGTGAGCTCAACACCAGTGAGCTGTTGCTTCCTGGGTTTCTTTCTGGGGCTCATCTCCATGGAGTTCCCCTGAGGATTGATCCTGGACTGTTCAGGTTCCTCATCAAGTCCCGGTGAGCTAGTAGCAGAGACAGTTGTGGATCCTGAACTGTGATTTCCCTCCCTGTCCGCTCTAGGAGAACCTGGAGGACTCCCCATGGACTGCCTAGCTGCCAAGGAAGTCAAAACAGGCACTAAATTCTTAGCTATCGACTTGGCTGGAGAGCTGTCGTGATCTCGTTTCCTCAGGATACTCGGCCGAGGTGAGGCGTTGGGTTTGCTGTGATTGTCCTCGTGGGAGGGCTCCACCAGGAGTCTCACAGGCTGTCCCTGACGATATTGGTACTGATTCGGTGAGCTGGGGATGCTATTGGTATTATTGATAATTATTGTTGCTGGAGGGGCTGATGTGACAATAGTAGATGCTGTTGTTGTCATAACTACTGGAGTAGCTGGAGTCACCCTGAGTGTCTGCTGTCCAGAGGACTTGATTTGAACAGTCTGAGTGATTGTCTGAGCTTGCAGGGGTTTCATGGGTGCTGGTGTTGTCCTCGGGGATGTCAGGGGCAGAGAGTGCAGTGTCATTCCAGTTATTCTGGCAACCGATGTTGGAGCTGACTGGCTTACCCTAGCCATATTAGAAATTCCTCCTGACGTCGTTGTGGCAATTACTCGTGATACTGTCCCAATATTAGCGAGTGATGTGATAGTCTGGACAACTCTGGGACCCTGTTGATGACCTGGTGCTTGCTGAATCTGCTGAGAGGGAATGACAACTCTGGAAAAATTGGTGGCTCCAGGTGTTGGATTTATCGATAACTGACGTCCAAGTGCTGGTTGTACAGCCAGTGAAGCTGTGCCTGGGATTCTATTGGCTGTGCCCACCACAGGTGCTGTTACTGTCACTCTGTTTGTCGTTGCAGGAACCGCCAATGTTCTCGTGGGCTGATGAGTCGTTGACTGGATGCCCTGGGATGGATGCCTGGGTGGTTGAACGCCTGTGGACACCAGGGGAACAGTGGGACGTACCTGGGGCACTGGTATTCTCGTGAGGGTATTCGTGGACTGGAGAACAGGTGTAAGCAATCGTGGAGCACCTGAAACACCTCCTGATACTGTAGCTGTGACGACTGTTGCCTGGACAGGACGAATTTGTGACTGGGGTGCCAGCTGGGATTGTTGGGCTGTGTAAACAGCTTGTGGTCGTGTTGTCACTCGTGTTACTGGAGGAACTGGATGACGTTGAGGTGGAGCATAGACCACTGATGTCTTCGGTGGCCACTGGGTTGTTGTCACTGTTGTTGGTGCTCCAGGTCTTGCTATTGGCACAACAGCTGCACCACTTGCTCTCACTATTGGTGTTGCAACTGTTGATCTAGGTGCTGATATGTTTGCAACAGCTGCTGGACCTCTTGGAACATGATACGTAGCGGGAATTGTCGTTACAACCTGCTGGACACCCTGAACACCCTGGACACCCTGACTCTGACCTGGTGAGGCATTCTGACGTTCCACAGTGCTCAGCATACCTGGAGATATTATTCTCACTGTTGATCCCACTGAGCACAGGGTTGTCGTAATCTTGTTGGCGTCAGAGACAGCTGATCCACTCTGCACCACTGACTTCATCAATGATAATTTTGGATTCAAATCCAGGGATATGGATTTACCGACGATCGCTGATGCCACTGTACTCACGACACTCTGGGCCGGCTGAATCGTCTGCACATTGCTCTGAACGATATTCTGAATTGTCTGGATCCTGTGGACATTCTGAATCGTCGTAAGACTGTGCTGGGGCACCTGAGAAGTCTCTGGCTGTCTCTTGTCACCGGTTCCCTCCGGATTTCCACTGTTACTTGTATTCATCGTCTCAGGGAAAAATAACAACACGATTAATCGGTTTCAACGTTCTTAGCATTAGATGGGGAATTTTTCGGGGAAATATCGGTGAGAGTAAATAATGAAACATTGAAATATCACTTGTAATCACGTATGGAACTTTAATAACATTTTTCACTTGTTCGGAGATCGGCGGATAGAGATGATTCGGTGGTCAATCGGTTTGGGGATTAATTTCGAGGGCTTTACCAATTTTTAATATAGAAATTCGTATTTTTTTGATGCGCTGGACAACGAACGATTGTTGGAAGTAACAATAATGATAATAAAGAAACACTGAAGTGTATGCAACGAATGATGCGGAGGGGGAGGGCAAAAACAAGCTGAAAGTTCATTGCAGAGACACTAGCGGAAGTGCGGAGGCAAGCCAGAAAATCGTGAGATAATCCAGCGGGCGATTTGAAAAGTCACGGAGATTTTCATTTCTTTAACAAAAAAATTAATTCCTAATCAATAATCAATTCTTTAATTGGCTATTATTTTCAATTATTAATTAACATATTAATTAATTGCTTAATTCATATTTTTTAAAATTACAACATTTTGATGGAGTACTTTTTTAAATAAAAAATTCATTGTTAATGAATGATTATGATTTTAAATAATTATAATTATTCATTTTCAGAGTCGATTTGGAGAATATATTTTTTAAAGAATTGACATGTGGCGCTTTTCCCGCTCCAATGTAAAATTCCGTAGTGGTCCTTCACCGGAAGTGAAATCTCCTCGTCTTTTTCTCTGAATAGTTTAAGGCCTTTTCGGTCGCTCTTGCACGATGGGTGAGTTGTGGATTTTATTTCGGTTCTCGTAATCCCCGAACATCCCTATTTTTAAAAATAATTATCCCCGATAATCGAGGGATCTGACAGCAGGGATGATTATTCTTGTCGATTGTGGAAATATTTTTTGGTTTTTCTGGGTTTTTCGGGGCAGTGGGAAGTGACAGTGTGTCGAGGTTAACTTTGTAAACAATTTCGTTGCTACTGAAATATTTTATGTTGTTAATTGATTTGTTGGAGGATGAGTGATTCATTTGTTTTTTGGAAATCACAGGTATTTCCAGGGATCACTGGCATAAGCGACGTGCCACCGGAGGCAAGAGGAAGCCCCTCAGGAAGAAGAGGAAGTTCGAGTTGGGACGTCCTGCTGCCAACACCAAACTTGGAGCCCAGAGAATCCACACGGTATATTTTCTACTAATTATAATTAATTATTATTCCCAGAATTCTGTTTAGTTTCCCATAAAAATTTTCATAACTACATATAAATGTTGAATTCATTGTTATTTATTATTATTTATTGTTCATATGATGATCACCCTTACCTACTCTGAGTGCCATGCTGACACCAATCCCACAGCGTTCTGAAGATGAAAATAAATGAAAAATTGTTTGGTACCCACGAAAAATTTTTACTGAAGATGTGTTTTGTTAGGTTCGTACACGTGGTGGAAACAAAAAATACAGAGCCCTTCG